AGTCTCAGAGCGTCTTGTATTCCTGGACTTATATCGGGGAGTCGTATCACTTATTTAGCACACAATGGTAAAATTGAGAATCGAGTGTATTCCCCGAGGTATTAGAATGGCAGATGGAAGCGAAAAACCATTGAAACCAGTAAGGACAGAAAAGCCGAACGATTGTATACGACTTGTCCGATTGAGCTGATAGTGGCATGGAGACGGCCTGCGAGAACATGACAAGTGGATTCAGGCGCAATATGAGATAGCGGAATGCAGCAGTGGACCATAGAACTCTTTTCCTGAGCAATGGGAGCGCGCTAGTTATTTACTTGTCGGTGTTTACCATGGAAAACAGTTCACCACTGCAAAGGAACTCCATTATCGACGTTCTCAATGATCCTTTAATTCCTCTCTACACTCAATCTTACATTGACCATATATATCAAGATTTCATGCTCAGCGCCTCAACAACACCACTAGTCCTCCACACAGTACCTCTTAATTCATCGACGATCTGTGCCACTCGTATCATTGTAGCTTGGACGGTTGATCTAGGTAGGTTACTTAGCATCTAATCTCACCATTCGCTGGGTGGAATTCACGTCTTATTTCTGCACCAACAATCTCAAAGTCCACCACAGGAATATCCCTGTTCGTCAAACTTGAATCAAGGAGATACTGACAGGCTGCCATTCGATATGCCCATACCGTTGGACAGTACCATTAAACTTTCGGACATCTCCTTTACTCACAATCTTCCATTATTTCTCGTCCTGCCATAACACGCATTCTTACGGCGAGCTTTACGATTGGAACTACAATTAGGTCTCATCTCACACCATGAGTAGGGCAGTCCATCAGACTGAACGACTTGCCACCAACAGTATTCCTTGACTAACGGGGCGGTTTTCTCCCAGTATCGGGAAATCGAAGAAGAAGAAGAAGAAGATGATGATGAATCATACTATTTTGTTGGAGGGAAGAGCAGAGGATGAATGAGTCTGATATTTGAAAGAGGCTGAGAGGAGTTTGCCTAGGAGTACTCGAACGTTGAAGGACGTGCACTTTATCTGCATTTGTCTGACAGGTTCGTGTCTTCGACGCTTGCAATCCGTGAAAGTGCTGTTTAGAATAGCAAAACTGTAAGACTTAAAGTGAGTACACTCATCCTCGCTTTGGCTCATGCAGCAAAACACTCATTTTCACTGCCATGCTAAGGTTGGGTTCAGTCATGTTCTTGATGGATCCTCCCATTCACATATTCATGAATGAATTTCATCTCTTATTTTCCTCGAAGTTATAGTGCAGCCAAACGCTTCATGCATGGACACTTTGAGGCGCTGATGTTGAACGTGATTTAGTTTAATAAAGTACTCGACACAATGTTACTGTGTATGCGATGGCATATCCTCGAGCTCCATCCTTCCCTTGTGTGCCACTCAACCGTAAGGTCGTCATGAGGACAGGTCAGTTCACCAACCATTCCCAGCATACCGAAGAAATTGTTCTTTACGATTCGCACGTCGCTCTGCCTGTTATTCTTTGATTGTTCTTACTCGATTGTTCTAACGGAGGTCATTTCAAGCTCGGGCGATCGGAGATTCGTCACTCTCTTCCATGGTGGGCACACCCGTGATCTCAAGTAGGTATCGCAGGAGACAACGTACTCATTTTCTTGAGTCTTCTCGTCCAGAAGACTGGAAGCTACCGCAGAGCTTCCATCTCCTTGAGACGATTCTTACGCAGGATCATCCACGACGGATTCGGCGCCCGACATGTGTTATTTCCAACACGCGAGATAGTGGGCACCGGTCACTCTCTTACACGACAAATTACTGGGTTGGCAATTCAGCAAGTCGGTAAGTCGCGTGTTGAACGTACAAGGTTTCTGTCCATTCTCACTCAGCTAGTGTCCATAGTTTGAAAACGGGTCCACAAATACAGTTCCTGCTTCATCGGATTTACCTATCCAGGCTGTGCTGGTATCAGATCCCGCTATCGACATCATGTTCACTACAGTGCCCCGCCCTGCAGGCTCCAAGGTCGTCTTCTATGAAGATCCGCCGTGAGCCTCATGGTTCGATAAGTTGACTCCCCAGTACGTATGAGTCTTTTCTTGCCTTCACTACCTTTCCAAAGTGCCCGTCATGTTTTTAAACTACCATTCCTGTCATAACGCTCGCATTTCCAATGCATGGGTAAGTCATATTTTGACCGTTTCCTACCGCACCTCAACTCTTTCAGTATGATGGCTGTGCCTTCAGGATGGATCACACTCGTGTGTCTAGAACATGCTCGTTACTTCATGAACCAAGTCAAGTTCATTACTTACTGAACCCTGACGGTCTGAGTTGTAGCTACCACATGCAGAGAGCATTAATGCACGAAGCGATACGCGGTGATATCAAACACTATATGTAGGACTTGTTGGACGAACTCCACCGGACCATTGAGCAGGAGCACCTCGTGCTCAACATGAGGCAGGTTGACCCTTGTCAGTGAGCAAATTTTTTGATGGTGACTGTCATTTGTTGCTGTCATTTCGCTAATCACCGCAACAGGTGTCTCTTTTGGTTGAACGACTTCAACCCCAAAGTTGTTATCTTTGAGTGTAAAGGCATTGTAGGTGGTCAATAGTTCTCAGCGGTGTCGATGTTAATTTGCCCTCGTTTTCATCAGCAGGGCTCGCCGTTCAAGCGCAATACTGGTGTCCCGGTGAAGGTTCGCAAGACATCTTACCTCATTGTTCCATTCACAACGAAATCTATATGTAGGTATTGGACTAACATTCGACGTATATGAAATATTAAGATTATATTCCTAGCCTGTGCCCAGTTACGCAAGACCTTGTGGATGAAGTCAAGGGTATGTTGGTCTGTGCGACGTGCGGTGCGGTCAGCCTTTTCTCAGGCCTGATACCTGGACCTAATTATTTAGTCGCAATGATCAGACCACTTAACATCGGGCCAGTCTTCTGCCGCATCTGATGTCATCGAGGAACCACCTCTGTGGTAGACATAATCAGGGATAAGCTGCTTTGATACCTCCTGGCGGATGTCACGCGCTAAGAAGTCTATCTCCCTGCAGACCAACGTTCACAACGACGTCGGACTGCCATTGCCATTGGTGTCGCTTGAAATCGAGCTCCACCTCTTCTGACGTTTATTATCATTCAAGGCCGGATTATCTATGGAGGTTCTACCCAAATCTGTCATTATGGTAAGCTGCATCTCTGTAACGTACAACGGACGATAACTTATATGGCGCAGGAAACTTGATGACTTGCTCCAGGCAATTCACACAACAAAGCTCCCTGTTCGCTCTGAATCTGCAAATTATTCGTTAAAGTTCTATGACAGTTTTCTCCAGCGGAAGATCTGCACCTCGATCCAGCTTTCGCATGCGCAACAACCAGAAGATGCAATCAAGCTCAGCTGTGTAACAAGTGATATGCCCACCAGCGAAGGTGTCTGTCGCATCAGGAAATTCCACAATTAAGAACGGGGATGGAGACACAAGGATAACTTTATCAGGTACCAGGAGACGATGTCGCGAGCATTCATGCACATACACACACTTGCCATCAAGCAATGAATGACTTTGCTGAAGACTCTAGAGTAGACAAAAATACCGCGAACGCAAAAATAAGATAAATGGAGCATAGTATCATGTGATAGACGCATAACAGATTAATTCTACAACTTGAAGTACAACGTGGATGGAATAGAGTGCAACATAAAGGACCCATAAAACCGTACCCAGATGAGAGTGATACAGCAGAACTATACACCAATATGAATGAAAAACCATCCTCTGCTCGAGCGGCAACCTTTCGTCTTCACCGCATGTGTAGCACGGTTGAGGGCCCAGGCCGCCCTCGTAGCAGTCCATCACACTACCGGCACCATCCTTCAAATCCATGAACATATATTTGTAGAACGCTTCAACGACGTGGTGTTTTGCGACAGCATCGTTGACCTTCCCACAGCGTGCCAATGACGCTCTTGAACCCGAAAACTGGAGACCAGCTGCGAGATGAATCGACTTCTCGTCAGGAGTTTTTCCTCATCCCCGACGGCGGTATGACAAGCAGATAAGAATGCGAAACTCGGCGTGCGGAATGTCTCTCTCCATGATATCGAGCAGCGTCAGATGTTCATCTCTCATGACGAAATGCGAATTGTAAGGCTGCGTAGGGTCCCTGCTTTCCGTGACAAGAGGAGGTGCACCCAGGTGTTCTCTTCCAAAGCTTGGGAGTGCAACCTGCTCGGTTGTCGCTGCAATCCCAGAAATAGTTAGTATGGTTGGCCGTTGCAGGGACCAAACTTATGGACAAGCTCGAGCTCGCTGTCAACAGCCAAGAGCGCCTTTGCCTTTCCCTGCACCCGGTTGACCTTGTCCGATTGTCCCGAAGGACGGAGTGACACGCCTCTTCATCATCTGTCTAGATCTGACCAGAGCCGATAGTGTCGGCGTGTAAGAACAGATGTAGAGATCCTCCAGGCAAGGCTCCTTGGATCCATCTACCTTTGTTTGAAAGGGGTGAGCTGCATGAAGGGGGAATAGGACGTGAAAGCTGCAGTAGGGACATAGCCAGATTCGAGAGCGGTGCTTTAGTTCGAGGACGTTTCTCGAGTACGTTGACGATGGGTTAGGCATGATCGCGTCCCATACTGTCCGCAAGAGGGACTATTAGATCATTACGCGGTTACTTTTGGGCCCATGATAGACGCGTGTCGTATTTGGCCCTGCGAAGCGATCTTTGAGATTATTCAGTTCCGTGAGAGAGATAGACGGTAAGGAAACATGATGGGGGTCTCCTGACGTCGAGACGATGATGGCGCTGCATGAAATATTGACTGGCAATGAGGATGATGACAGGGCCCTGGCGTGCTGCCGCTTGCAGATATTCATACGAAGGTGGGAGCAGGAACCGCGAGAAACGCCTGAAGACCACGTATCTCAGCTACCGCAGCTTCCCACTGCCTTGTAAGTCTCCTGTATTCTGTTGCTTGCTTGATCAGCTGCAGCTGGGCCAGCGCTGCCCGCAGCACCCTGAGCATGAGATAGGTTGCTTGCTGAGCTCCAGCAGCTTTTGAGCTAGTTGCGGACTCGTAGACGTTAGGTCTTCTAGCGGAGGTCCTGAGTCGAGAGGCCAGGCGACCACTGCTGGCCACGGCCCTGCTCCACAAGTTCAACTGCCTGTCGTAGATTACTACTACGTATGGCACGTGAGCCTGCATCTACCGGCAGTGATTGTGCACCACGAAAAGCGGGTTGCAGCCTCGCGCCGTGAGACGATCGGACGATCGTGTCATCACGTGGCTGTCGAAAAGCTCCAAGCATACTTGGTATGCTTCGAGGGCAGAGTCATGCTGATGACCTTCAGCTTCAGCAACCCAGTGCAAGGCAGTATGGATACGATTCGGAAAGCCTTGAGTAGGGTGTCCGATGCCAGTCTGAAGTTATTTATGGCAAGTGACAAATCAAGCAGGGTCATGTAGAATCCGGTAACGAGATAAATGGGCTTCCATCAGCCATCTGTAGCCGAACCATCTGGCTGGGTGCAGTGAAGGCAAAGTCGCCAACGGTTCTTGGCAGAGAGTAATAGCTTTCCTCGACATCTTCATTCTGCTGAGTGTGCATGAAACGAGAGCAGAGCGCCGAGCTCAAATTGTAAAGAGGTCCATGGCGCTCTGGATCGTCAAGCCGCGTTAACCGAAGGGATTCACGATATCGTTCAATGGCCTCGTTAAGATCCTCGACGACATGTAATTTGTCATATCTCTGTTGGAGCGCGTGGGCAAGGTTGTTAAGTCTGATGTCCACGATGTGGATGCCCAAGTGGGCGCAACGTCAGTGCCTCGCGACGCAGGCTGATAGCTCGGGTGATGTCATCAATGTCCCCGCGTTTGTAGAAAACGGCTGGCAAGGGCGCCCCCTAGGTTGTCCAACGAGATGTCACGAATTTCGTGCCCAACAGGGCACAGACGCAGTGTTTCTTCGTACAAAGTGGTCGCCTCGTCGAGGTCATTAGGTTGCCTTGGTGATTGAAGCGGTTTCACGAGTGAGTAGGCCAAGTTGTTCAGGTTAGCTACCCGCGATCAGAATGTCCCTCTGACACAGAGACACCGCTTCACGATGGAGGTCGTATGTCCTCGTCCACATCATCAATGCTGCCGCGTTGGTTGAAGCGTACATGGACCGCATGTGCAAGTGTGGCGAGGGCTCTTGGACGGAGTTGATGGCCCACAGGACAAAGCTCGAGCACATTTCGTCGAAGGTGGATGCCTTCGTCAGATGCGTCGACAGGAAGATTGTTGATCACATAATCGACCGCACTGTCTACGCCGATGCTACGAAGGTAGGTGCCCTCTGGGCAGAGGGGCAGTAGCGTGCAGCACAGCTGCGCGGATTCGTGAATGTGGATGGCGGTAGACTCCTTGCTGTGACGCCATATCAATGCTCTAATGAGATTATGGAGGGATGACGGGTGATCGGGATGACCCTTGCGGACACAATGCAAGGGATTCGCGGAAGAGGGAACTGGTGGTATCGATGTCTTGAAGATGATTCCGAATATACCCTTCAAGGCGGGCATACGCGAGGTTGGTGAGAGCTGCTGCATGATCAGGATGGCCGACCGGACACTGGTCAAGAACCAACTGAAAATGCTGCACAGCATCGTTCAGGTGAGAGACCGTCCCGCTCGTCGCGTATTCGGCAAATCGTGCATGGCCTGCATCTGTGTCTCGAGCAATATCACTGTATACGGGGGACTACAGTTGGTGTGCCATCAGCAAAAGTTAACAGCAGAAGCCAGCGTCACTCACATCAGATAGTGTGCTATCCTGACCATCATAAGCATGTACTACGGCGGCCTTCAGCGTGAGGGAAGGGCAGACATCACGAATGGGTGGGAAGGATAGATCTATGAGATGTTAGTATATGCGCGTGAATGAGAAGTAAGTTGCTCACCAAATGACTCGTCTCCATGACCCAGCAGCTCATCCACGACATTTGAAGTTTCCCGATGATCTCTCCACTACCTAGCATTCGATCGACCTCATAGGATGCCCTGATCTCCATTGATAACACAGGTGAGACATGCGATGATCTATAAACCGAAGATCAGTTCTCGCGTCGTGTCAGAGTCTCCATGGACTTTACAGAGTCACAGTATTCCCCATGCTACAGATTCATCAGATAATAACACACTGATGACCGATTTCCAGCATTTTTCCGGGAGTCGACATTGATGGATACGTAAATGCCTGCAGGTATGCGCCCAGAAGGGACTCTAAGATTCTTTCCACTGATGACTGTAGATAGAGCGTGAGGATCATGAAACGGACATGAGGGTGATATAGAGCAACTTACATTCAAGCCTGATATATCGGCTTTCTGAGCTATTAGGCATGATGGTGCGATGCAGTAAAAATGACGAGGATCGAAGATGGGTCGAGCGGTAGGTGGAATGAGTGGGAGGGGAAGACGAGAGGTGGGGATATGGGGAATGTGGATGAAGTTCAGTGAAAGGAGAGGTTCAGGGTTCAGGCCATACTGCACGTGCATTTCCATATTGTCGAGGGCGATAGACGCTGGTATGATATGCCGAGAAAGACGCCCGGCTATATAATGTTAGCGGGAGAGCTCACTCTACAGAGGAAGTAGAGAATATAATAATTGGTCTGCAGCGAAAGTAGCCCGCCAAGGTTGAAGGGAAGACATGAGTCTCAGAGCGTCCGGTACTCCTGGGCTTATATCAGGGAGTCGTGTCGCTTATTAGCACGCAAAGGCAAAATTGTGAATCGAGTGTATTTCCCAAGGTATTAGAATGGCAAAGAAAAACCGAACGATTGTATACGACGTGTCCGATTGAGCTGATAGCGGCATGGGGAAGAGTTGTGGAAACACCAGGGACGGTTTGCGAGAACATGAAAAGTCTGATTCAGGCGCAATGTGAGATAGCTGAATGCAGCAGCGGACGATAGACCTGTGATGATGTGCCAGCTGCAACTTGGAACATAATGAGCAAAGAGCTGCACAGTGCAAACATGACAATTAATTTTTTACAATACCTGGTTGTCTGCCGTTGAACCAAGGGCGTCTTTTCCTCAGCAGCAGACTACATAGTACTATGCTACAAGCAAAGTCACAAGCGCGTTCGGTGTTTGCCGAAGACAGTTCAAGTACTACGTACCGTAGTCGGTTCACGAGTCCTCTGATGACACGCGCGTAGTACACATTATAGAAATTCAGAGATCACCCGTTCTCATCGATCTCTTCCCTCCCTGTCCTCGTTCTTACTTTGACCGTTATGATGACTCCATGCTCAGCGCTTCGACAAAACCACTAGTCCACACCACTACCCCTTCTCAATTCATCGTCGATTCGTGTCGCTCGTCAATCGTGTCATTGTAGCTTGGAGGTTCGATCTAGGTAGGTCACTTAGCATTTGATCTTGCCATTCATTGGGTGGTTTTCACATTCTATCTTCGCGCTAGAAATCTCAAAGTTCACCGCAGGAATATCCCTGTCCGTTACATTTGAATCCAAGGAGATACTGGCTGGCAGTTATCCGAGTCCCACCATTCGACATATCCATATCGTTGGACAGTACCATGAACCTTCCAGGTATCTCCTTCATCCATTGTTTCTCGTCCTGTCGTAATACGCGCTCTTACGGTTCGAGCTTGACGATTAAAGCTACAATATTAATTAAGTCTTCTTGACTCAGAAGAATTTAGAGTGGCACATGATCGACATCGCCGGCATAGACGTTTCATCGCACTCCACCCACGGCTTGAGCGGGGCGACCCATCATACTGAATGACATGTCACTAACAGTATTCCTTGACTGACCAGGCGATTTTCCGGACATCGAGGAAGATGGCGACGAATCATACTATTTCGTGGGGGAGAAGAGTAGCGGATAAATGAGTCTAGTATCTGGAAGAAGATGGAGAGGAGTTCGCCTAAGAGTACTCGAACGTTGGAGGACGTGCGCTTTATTTGCCTTTACCTCACAGATTCGTGATCTCGACGCTTACAATCCGCGAAACCGCTGTTTAGAATAGCAAGACTTTGAAACTTCAAGTGATACGCTTGTCCTTGCTTCAGGCCCCGCAGCAAATACTTATTCTCACTACCATGCTAAGGTTGCATTCTCCACATGCCGATGGATCACTCCGGTTCATGTATTCATGAACTGAATTTCATATGTTGTTCACGCGAAGTTGCAGTGCAGCAAGCGTCTCATGCATGTCAGTTCTGCGACAGGTATCGCTTATGAATTCGCTGACTTCCAGTTAGCCATGACAAGTAATGTCACAGCCGCTGCAAACCCAGACAAAGGAAGGGTGACAGAAAACCACCTCGGTTATATCATGAGCCTGTCAAGATGTTTGAACGCCACGAGAGAAGTAAGTACCATGAAGCCTCTGGAATTCTTTACGATATCATGGTATCGCCCACGCTGCAGAACTATCGGACGATGGGACTCGGGACTCTGAGAGATGACTTGCAGCGTCTACTTGAGTCGACATTGATGGACTCGTGGATGCCTGCGGATGTAAGGAAGGAGGGAAATTATCCACTTGTGACTGTAGATTCAATGTAAGGATCACCAAACAAAATTGGAGGGTAATATGGAGTGACCCACCTTCAAGTCTGATAGGTTGATCTTCCGAGATGGTATGTTGACCAGGAGGATGGATGACGGGCTGTGTGACGCAGAATGAGTAGTACTTAGGATAAGACAGAAGTAGGGTTCAAGTTGAGGAGCATGTCCAAAGTTGAAGCGGGCAATGTGATGGTTAGTGGGTAGAATCATTGTGCACAATATTGCAAACTGTTCTTACAAACTGCTGAAAACGACGTCAAGACAGAAAAGCGGAATATACGATCCGAATCCAATTGAACTGATGACTGACACGCAGTGGATAATGTCATGAAAAGAAAGCCTTTCGAGAGCAGCTGCAACGGGAACTTTCCACGCTTCGGGCTTGTTAAGTGCAGGCAGGCCAAGTCTGTTGTGTCACGCTCATCTTTGTTGCACTGAAAGACCGCCTGATAAGAACTCGAGCCGGATATTGACTCTGCCCAGGTTTGTGCCCCGACTCAAATCCTCGCAGCCCCGCCGTATCATATTCAAATATTCAATAACCAAGTATTTGATTGGGACATCGAACCTACGGGAATGGCACTGAGTACTGAAGCTTGAGGCGCTGAACCACGGGAAGAAGAGCGCAATCACCTGGGTAGACATACATAATAAGATGCCAGATCTCTCAAATGAGAATAGAGTCCATGGTGGGCTCGGCGATCATGAATGCGGAGACGACAGAGTGCGAGGAAATGAGTACAACTTGAAGATAAAACTTGAGCTAACATCAACCAACGTTATGGAACTAAACATAAAATGGAATATTACCTCGAGGATCCCAGCCAGGCACAAGCAGTTGTGCATGGGCCACGAGTGTAAGTGCATGACTTCAACGCGTAGGAATGACGTCCCTGAAGGCCTGACTCCAGACACCAAGGTGGACACCCGCGTTCGTTATGCCTGCATTCATCAGTCCACAAGCCCCCACAAGCAAGTGATACAATTTTCACTTACAATTTATGCTGACGTCCTAGCCCCCACCAGTTCCTAAACGCCTTCCATTAATGGCAATCATCGATACCTTCGACGCCGAAGCCATCCGTCAAGTGATAGGCAGCTTGGGTGTGGAGCGTCACATACACTCTTTCATGACCACTGTCGAGCACCTCAAAGGGACGGCAGATAGCCTCTCCTCAGACGCTAGCACAACCCCCGAGTCTACTACGCTGCTCGTACTAAAGCTGATCACCACTGTCACGCGCCTTGCGCAGACGACAGACACCCTCATCCCATGATGTTAGCGCAACCCTCGCATCTACTACGCTGTTCGTAGAGGATTGCGACGACGAATACGCTGGCGTTGAACATGCATTAGCTATTGCAAGGGTGCATTGCTCTTGTTGCGTTGCTGTGCTTGTTGACAGTCCTCTGCATCGTGCGCTGGTGCTACGCATTTAGTCGAGAGCTTCGGGGTGTGCAGCATATCAAAACCGCATAGACTAACACATGACAACAAATTGTCGGTTTTACCAGCACTAGTACTGTTAACGTGTTATGATTGATTCAAGTAGAAAATGTGATGAGGCAAGAATGCTAACGGGATTGGTGACTGGCCAGATCTTCAGAACGCAGGTGTTGTTGGCAAGAACTTCAGAAGAGTGACAGCACTGGGCAGAAAGCAGAGCTGACCCAGGATTCGTTCTAGACTCTGGTAGGTACAACACCGCATGCATTACACGAACACCACCACAACATCGCATTAAATTAATCCAAAGACCAATTTATTTGCACTTCCGATCAGCCTCCGAATCATTTTATTTTCTTATTCGAAAACTTGAAAATAAGATCGGTAAGCAAAACCAGCAAACACAGAATAAAAAATGCAAACACTCACTACGGTGACAACAGTCCCATCGTCCAACCTCTCCTTCCTCGGCACAAACTCATAACCAAATACCTTGGGCAGTATGACCCGCCATGCAGCCCAGTACAGCACGCCTACAAACATGATGGCGATTCCGACGAGACAGTACCTATAGAACGAGTGAGGAATGAGAATAAGGGACGCGCTGGTGGAAGAAACGTACAGGTAATATGGTAGTGGTGGGGTGTCGCCAATGCCGCCGGGTGGTCTCAGGAAGGGAGCGACGAGTACTATGTGGAGGTTAGGTTAGGGAAAGAAAGTATGGAGTTGTAGATTGGTAACTCACGGAAGACAGCAGCCGCCAAGAAGAATACAGCAATAGGCCACCATACTACATCATATGCGTTAACGTACTACACAGGAAGAGCGACATATTTGCTTACCTTTGAATGGTCGAACAGCATTTGGCTTCTTCCATCTCAGATAGAACAGACCCTGGCGGTATCAAGAGGTAAGAAACACTCGAGAAAAATAATCGAAAGACGTACGATGACAATAAAAAGATTAATGATCTGCTGTGGGTATCCTTCGACGTCCAAAATAAAGGGGTAGGCAATGTTTGGGGGAGGCGCGATGATGACGATGACCTAAAAAACCAATCTCAGATTGATATCATGGATATCATGCGGTTCTACAGTAGTACTTACTGAGGGTATCAAGTGGATGATCAATCCCGGAAGTGGGGACTTCCCTGTGGGCCAATTTGAAGCCCAGAATTTGTTTCCGAATGGTAAGGGTATCCCTTCCTTTGCGAGTTCTGTAATTGAAGTATGAGCTAGGTAAAATTACGATGTTTGGTATGACGGACCTTGGTTTACTCGTGACGCAGCAAAAGTCTAAATGAAAAGTTCTTGTGCCACACATTTCAATAGCATTCCTTGACTTACTATAGTAATAACGTTCTATGGCCTATCATCAAACAGAGATCATGTTAAAAAAACCACAGGACTCACTCCAAGAGCACTGTCATGAAGACAATAAGTCAGGAAACCCTCAAACCCAAGACATCGAGCTCACCTGAGAGCAATAAAAACCGCTAGCGCACGCTCCGCAACAGAACCAAAGACATTCCCGAAAAACAAAGCAGCGACAGTAACGCCGGAGTGATCGATCTCCGCCTATCGATACCATTCAGTATTTCGTTCATGGTACAGACACAAAAAGAAGTTCTCACCTTGGTTGCAGCTGAGAAATAAGCCACATTTGCAAGCAAGTACAAAATGGCGCATATACCAAGACCGAGCGGGCCTGCGATCTTGAGCGTCCTCACTGGATTACGGACATTATTCATCACGTAGTTCACATTGGACCATCCCGCATATGAGTTCAAAACTTTGAAAGTGGCGGTAGCATACTGTCAAGACCGTAATTAGCAGATGGGCATCTAGGAAAATAATTGAACACACTTCATAGCTACTCGTGGAGCTTCCTGCGAACGCGTTTCTGAAATTATAGTGCGGATCTGCGACGCGGGTTTTGCCAGAGAGAACTACCCAGCCTGTGATTACGACGAATAGCAGAATTACGATCTTGAATATCGAGAGCAACTGAAGGAAAGATGTTGAATATGATAATAGTGTAAAAATGAGAGCTTGCATACGTTCATGATTAGCACGCCGGTCTTGGGGGTTAATCCATGCAGGAGGGTTACGAAAAAGATAACTAGAAGCCATGAAACAATCGCAACATGCCAGTTAGGTAGGATATCATACCTCCAAGTGCAATTCCACGCTCATTCCAGCGACCTGCGGTTTGTTCAGCAGCAACTAAGATGCTACATCATATCAGCCGAGTTGTTTCATTAGGATCCGAAATACGCACTTGCTAGCAAAAACCTTGACGAGGCAATTAAGTTTGAGCACTGAATATCTATCCAAAACAAGAGATGACTGACGATACAACCGCTCGCAGTGAATCCAAGTAATATAGCGTTGGCAGCAAATACTACGGTGGCGAGGTACTTGGGTTTTCTGTAAACGGCTTCAAGGTATACCTTCTCTCCACCACTACGAGGGAACATGGTGCCGAACTCGAGCCATATAAAGAGGCCACAGAAGCTAAGCAAGAAACCGAGGACCCATAGCATGAGGGAGGCGCCGACTGAGCCCACGCCGGAGAGGATGGAGGACGGTGTTGAGAATATACCGGTGCCGATGATCCGTCCAACGATAAGGAGAGTGCAAGAAGTTACACCAAGGTGACGACCCAAGCCTCCAGCAGTATCTGGATGATGTCAGACGAGCAAGTTGAAGGAATAGCGAGCAACCGCACCTTCTTCAAAGGTCAGTTCTCCAGGATTCAAGTCAACATCATTGTTCGGTTCCTTCTGAGTCCTCTGGTCCTTTTCGCTGGGCTGTGACTCGGAAGCATGGTCGTCCTGGTCCTTTTTCTGCTGCTTGCTTAACCGCGACCACCACGTAGTGGACATCCCTGTAGATGGAGTGGTGGATATGAACAAATGGTATGTATTGGCGCTTCGAATGGAGATAAAGAGCGCTTGATAATAGCGCAATAAGATAGCCACATGTTGCCAACACCATGCTGTGTGATGAGCGCACCCTACAAAAGGGAAGCCAGATGGATTAGGCTATTATAACGTTCACCAACTGAATGTCCAGGTGAGGCTCCGAAATTTTGAAATTGGAACAAGCTCATTATTATGTTCGGTTGTTTTTGCTCTTTGAGATTTACAGCCGTTTCAATGCAGCTAGGCCAGTCCCAAAAAGCCTGAGTCGGTTGCAAGAAGTCAAGCCACGAACTTTCAATCACGTTCCTATGGGACGTTGTTCGGACATACCCCATGCATGGTATCTCGGAACAAAACAACGCCGACGGTCACGGTCTTGGCCTGGCATTCTGCAGACACGGTTGTAAAATTAACATACTACTGATAAGAATCATTTTTACATTCCGGTACCTAGATTTTCTCCTAATGACACCTACTAATGATTACCGTCAGGGTTAGTCAGAGACAACCCTGGAAGCCGCTGATTTGTTTCGTTTTCATTCCTACGATACCGCAACCCTGAAAATCCTGGAAATGTATTTTTCCTCCGAGCCTCTTGCGTAGCACGCTTGACTAGTGACTGCCCTGTTGTCCACCTTCCTACTGGGCACCGTGGTAAATCTGTCCTGGCTAGCGCGATTTTTCTGTCGTTTGTTGAGATGGTTGTTCATCTCCTTCGTCCGTCGAGATACCCTGGAAATGAATCAGTTCGCACCGTCCTTCCCCCGGGCCCGCCCATCTGCTCTGTTGTCCACCCTCCTGTCGGACACTCTTTTGTTCTGCTTTGCATTGTTCATCTACCTCCTGCTGGGACAACCGTTCAGTCATTTGCTGAGGGCGGTCCTCTGCAGTCCCTTGCGCACGAGTCTGGCCGATGTCGCCGCTCTGTGAACGGTCTGGGACATCCCGATCGTCGCGTTTCCCTTCTTGCTGACTTACGGCACTCGAGCATTGCTGCTTCTGCTCGGGCGCTGCGCCCGTACTTGCAGCAACTTCACCGTGACCCTTCTGCTCGTGCACTGCGCCTGCACTTACAGCAGGCTCACTACCAGTCTGAGTAGTACCCGGATCTTGATTGAAAATATTACCTCGTCGACAGGGGAAGTAACGTTACAAAACACTAACCTGTTGACTCAGGTCCGCTCTTTCCCCCAAGTGCGCTCGTTTTCTCATCACTCGTTCCCTGTTGTCGACCCTGATCTGTCACCCCAGTAGCGGTACCGCCAACTGCCGCGCCAGTGTCGGTACCAGTCCCAGCCCCCGCAGTCGTTCCTTGATCAGCAGGCGCTGTTCCAGGGGAGGCTGTTCCAGCAGGGGAAACTTGAGCCGCAGGCGCATGACCTTTCATCCTCGCCATACCCTCCGCAATCTCAGCACGGCCCTTCGTTGCCACATCAGCGTTCTTCTGCACGCCAGCTACAGAGCTCGTAGCACGATCGGCAGTGCCGAGTGCCGTGCCTCGAATATTTTCGCCTATCCCTAATTCAATTGATTATAACCGTTTGTATTTCTGGAATGATGATGATGAATGGAATGGGTTTACCGTGGATGACTTGAGCGGCTCCTCTGCGGAATTATTTAGATGTGACTCGACTTGAATAATGAAATCAAGACAGGGAACGTACTTGAGCTTATCTCCAAATCCCCCTCCGCCCCCATTCTTCGAAGTGTTCGTATTCGTGTTATCCGTGGTCATAGTTCACAAAAGAGAAAAAAAACTATCTCAAGCCCCTCGCCTGCATCCCTAAGTCTCCCAGAATCTATGACGCAAGTATGCGGTCACCACTGCTATGTCGCGGAAGGACACAAGGATCGGACATAAATGAATGGCCCGAGATTGATCCCGATTTGGGAACTAATCTATGATCGAGCACGTGCCGATCATATGTGCGTATGAGAAAGTTATTTGTGTATGTGGTCGCTTTTCGCATCGTCTCCTGGGCATCGGGTCCAAGCTCGAGAGGGATGCACGCTAATACCTATCTGCAAAGGTATACATAGAGCATAGAGACTATCTTCCTTGGAGATCGCTACGTGGATACTATGTAACGGGTATAATTTTGTGTTCGAACCGATGCCTGCCGCAGCGGATGATCTGGGTGATCTTGCTGCGAGCGTGCGACGTGAGTGGGGAATTTAGATCCGGAGGGAACGTTCCAGCCGGGTGATCACGATCATCATCATCATCGACGTTACTCTGCTGCCAAGGATGTTGTCAGTACAACCAACCCCAGAATTCCCACGATTATCATTGTGTCCCTCACAGAACGGGCTCCTTTTTTTGGTTCCATGATGGGTTGATGCCGAGCTCGAGGTCTTATCCCAATCAATATAATATTCAAGGCCCGCAGGGTCCCAAGACTAACAGAAGTACAAAAAAAGAAGGTATCCTAGGACATCTTGTGAAAAAACTTGAATACGATCATCGTCAATATCATGACATGTATGGATCTACAAGCTTGCTCTACAGTACAACAACAAAGGTATGATATCGACGAGCGACGACCAAGAAAATGAGACCGCAAGCCAGGAATACACTAAATCTACAACAATAATGGCCAACCGAAAAACTACGAAGACGAAGAGAGTTTGTGCGTAATGTATATGGGATATAAGTGTAACAATAAGGAAAACACGATGATGAGTGGTTTTTGTTATATATGATAAAGTAACATACAATGTCCATTATTGAGTTCCAGTCGTCGTCGATATCTTTTTTTTGAGAAATATGTCCGTGACATGCGTGGGTGATGGGGGTTGATGGATATGGATAAGGATAATAAATGATTCATACTGCTGCTGGCTCCTGCTGCCCGTCCTCCTTTCGTTGCTAGAATAGCGGTGACAGCTCACTGTAGGTTCAGCACCCAAACGTCTGGACCTAATTTTGTGCTAGACAGGCCCATGAACGTGGTGCACCCCATTAAGAAGTCTACCCGCTTCAGCCCCTTACGCTGCTCTTCCGCGTAAGCCTCAGCCGATGAGGCGCGTAAACCGATTGTGGTATGTTTCTGCAATGGTGTCCCGGGCGCGCTGGCTGGGAACCGCTTTGTACTCCTCACGAGTCCCCGGTGTACGGAGGAAGCGGTAGAGCTGGATGAGAACGTCCTCGACGGTGACATAAGGAGATGTCGACGCGCGGATTTCACAGCGCCATGGGAGGAAGTCGTTCTGGAGGGAGAGGATGGGAATGGGTGGGGTGGTTGCAGGTCCTGAGGCAGAGTAGGAGTCAAGGTTGATAGGTGAGGCGCGAATGTTGGCGGAGGCGGAGGGTATTGGGTG